TCTTACTGGCAACATGTTTTCCACATGATCTCCCTGTTGTTTGAGTGATTAAAAAGCCAAAGGAGAGGTGGATACGAAGTTTTGCGGTGCCCCCTGTTCATTGATTGTCTGGGCAAGTTGCTATCAGATTTTTGAAGCCCAAGGGCTGCTGAGCTAACACCTCTCCAGCTAATCTTTTCATGTTTTGATACGTTGGCCTCCAACCATCTCCTAAATAGTCTGAGTGATTCATCAGCTTGCGTTTTGCTCGGAGAATATGATTTTATTTTATTTTTTTTTTTGCTTCTCTTTCCAAACTCAGTTCTGTTGTGTGAATGTACATGAACTCTGTGCCCCCGTATCGTGCTGTGTTCCGAGTGCTCACACTTGGGGAACGTGCCAGGAAATAACTCTGGCTCTCTTTGTTGTGGACTTGTTCCATCTGCTCTATTCCTGCAGCGATAGATTAGTTCTTTGGACTCTTGTCCTATCTTTTATTCCTCTCTAGTTTGTTCTACCTAAACTTTGCAAACTAGGCACCGAATCTATTCCTTTATTTTTTTATTTTTTATTTCCTGGCTCTGTGGAGGTCTCATTTCAAAACCTTTTCACGGCAATGCTTTAGGAGCGGTCGGCTTTTACCCTTCTGGGCCGACCTTTCTGGCTTTTAAAATTCATTTAGCATTTTCAAAGAAAATGAGACCATTCTGATGCCTTCCAAGGGTAAGAGTTCATTCTAGGATTTATGTACAAAGCTCAGCGCTTCGAAAGCAGAGATCAATTGCGGTAAATTTGAAATAAACTGTAGCCAGTGGCCTATTTTCACACAGTACCCTGAGCTTTGCCGAGGTCAAAACAAACATAGAGGGGTGTGACCTTTTGGTCCCGCCTAAAAGAATGACTTTAAGGGTGAAGGACCTTTTGATATTTAAGTTTTCTTATTAGTTTTGGTCAATACGTATTGAAGTAGCTTTGACCTAATCTCACGGGAGGCCCCAGATCTGGTTTGTCATCAATCTGTATTACACTTTCAGACTTTCTTTTAATGTTTCCATGGAAGGTGGATGAAGGCACAGGTGTTTACTTGCTTTAGGAATCATGGAAGTGATAGATAGTCCAGATCCCTGTGGATATCCACCTTTTTTAGTCAATTTTTGTAAGAATTCCTGCCGGGAGGGGTTGGTTTTAAATGTAACTGTAGAGGTGTTACCGCTGTAAAACTGACTTATGAAGGAGAAACAATAGGGTCTACCAAAGGGAGGTTCTTTCTTAAAGATTTCCTGTTCACTCCGTCCCCTGCTCCCAAATGTAGATGGAGTTGATGGTATTTCTTGCGAGGACAGGAGTAGGAATGTCTTGTGAGATTCCTCCTGGCCCCGTGGTTGTTTGCCTGACCTAATTTGGCTGTACGGAACAGCCGTCCACTGACGAGGTGAGCTGGGCCGGTGGAGCAGTTTCAATTAAGGTATCGAGCAGGGATTAGGTCTGAAATGAACTCTGGACCCATTTTAGTTTGCCTCTGCTTTTGCAGCAAGTTATGACACTCTTACATTAGCTTTTTGGTTGGCCTGAGGATTTTTCTGTGTTATTCTTTTCAGAAGGACATTGCAGAGTGCAATATTACTGTAGTGAAACCTTAGTCTCTTTGGACTCTGGATGGAGGCTGTTTTATGTAGCTATTGTTATTTTTGTTATTTACCATTTGTATTTTGGTCCATCTATGTGTTTCACTTGCCTTTTTTTTTTTTTTAAACAGCCTTTAGCTGCACATTCTCCTCCCTTGTCCGTCTAAACTGGGATTTCTGGACTGCTTTGAAGGCTTATTATTTAAAAATAAATTGAAGGGCCTACTTCTGAGAGTCTCTATCTTCATGTGTAATTCAGTGAGAGTTCAGCCTGAGAAAAGGTTGGGCCCTAAGTATTCCTAACTTCTGGCAACAACAAGAGTGGTGTGAAAGCAATGTGTGAAGCTGCGTTGTTAATTGCTTCCACATTTTAATATGTATTATTGAGTTGTATTATGCAAGAAAAGCTAGGTTATACTGACCTTACCACGGGATACTGGGAGAACCTGAAAGCAGACTACACAGTCTGTGTGTGTGAGCAGAAAGAATGGATCATAGAATCATAGAATGGTTTGGGTTGGAAGGGACCTCAAAGATCATCGAGTTCCAACCCCCCTGCCCTGGGCAGGGACACCTCCCACCAGACCAGGTTGCTCAAGGCCCCATCCAGCCTGGCCTTGAACCCCTCCAGGGATGGGGCATCCACAACTTCCCTGGGCAACCTGTTCCAGTGTCTCACCACCCTCAGAGTAAAAAATTTCTTCCTGAGATCTAATCTGAATCTTTTTTCTTCCAAGGATAATAAAAACCTCTAGGCTGCCCAGAGAGGTGGTGGAGTCTCCTTCTCTGGAGACATTCAAACCCTGCCTGGACACTTTCCTGTGCAGCCTGTTCTGGGTGGACCTGCTTTGGAAGGGGGGTTGGACTAGATGATCTCCAGAGGTCCCTTCCAACCTCATGTGATTCTGTAACAGCAGAGAATTTGCCACTTAGAGAGGATGACAGGAGGCTCAGAAACAAACTGAGTGGCAAATACCGAGCTGCTTCTCTGGATGCAGGTGATAGGACAAGAGGAAATGGCCTCAAGTTGCTCCACGGGAGGGTCAGATTGAATATTAGGAAAAATGTTTACACAGAAAGGGTTATTAAGCCTTGGAATGGGCTGCCCAGGGCAGTGGTGGAGTCACCATCCCTGGAGGGCTTTAAAATATGGGTTGACATAGTTCTTAGAGACATGGTTTAGTGATGGTTTTTTATCAGTAAGGCTGATGGTTGGACTAGATGATCTTACAGGTCCCTTCCCACCTGAACAATTCTATGATTCTATGATGTAACGGTCTCAATAAATAATGGAAATCTAAATTGAACTGTATCTTAACTGTTGTTTGTTCTGATGAAGCCATATCTTGTAAAAAAAAAAAAATTAAAAAAAATAAATAGAAAAGTGGTATTGCTTGAGGCAGTAGGAAAATGGTTGTGCTCTTAAATAATCATGTTTCAAGAAACGGACACCAAACTTGAAGAAAGGGGGAGATGTGCCAAAAGATTTAATAGGCAGATGGAAAATGTTTACAGCGGAAAAATTCGTAGTGGCTTATTTGCTTTCACTGAAAATTGGATCCTTGCAATATGCCAAAATACTGAATTGATTTTTTGGAAAACGTACAAATAAGTCTTTGATCGTGGTTGTAGGATCCTGTGTTTGTACAAGAGATTCAGTTAAATTTTCCCTGCTGGTACAAAACGTGTACTAAAAAAAATTAGAGTATCAAAGCAGTTCTGATTTGTATGTACTATAGGTTTCCCTTCAAGGGAATAACAAGAAATGTTAAGGAACTTGGATTTGATTATAGTCTCGTGATATTTTTGGAAATTTCTAATAAAATAAATGTGGGAAAGGGCTGATCTGTGTTAGAAGCACCAGATTTGATAAATCTTTTGACGTGTTGCTTCTAGGTGAAGGAGAATCTGCTCTCGTGCAAGATGCTGCTGCACTGCAAGCGGGACGAGCTGCGCAAGCTCTGGATTGAAGGGATCGAGCACAAACATGTCCTGAATTTGCTGGATGAGATAGAGAACATCAAGCAAGTGCCTCAGAAGCTGGAGCAGTGCATGGCCAGCAAGCGCTACCTCAACGCGACAGACATGCTGGTAAGATGTGGGTCCTTGTGCTGGGCCAGTACCCACCAGAAACACACTGGTCAGCTGTCATCATCTGGAGATGACTCTGCTGTTTGTGGTCTTATTTGCTTCTTTTCCTGCTCAGTTTCTTCTTTTGTCACTTGATCCTTTCTTGTAGTGGAATTTCCTGTACGAGAATTTCCAGGACAAGAGGTAACAGGCACAAACTTGATATAAGAAGTTCCATCTAAACACTTCTTTCCTGTGAGGGTGGCAGAGCCCTGGAAGAGGCTGCCCAGAGAGGTGGTGGAGTTTCCTTCTCTGGAGACATTCCAAACCCACCTGGACACGTTCCTGTGTGACCTGCTCCAGGACCTGCTTTGGTGGAGGGTTGAACTAGATGATCTCCAGAGGTCTCTTCCAACCCCATATCGTTCTGTGATTCCTTTTGGTTTTGTTTTGATTCTTCTCGACTGGACTCAGGGTCACAGTCTGCCATCCTGATGGTGAACTCCTCCCTTCAAGCATTTTTCCTTTTCAATTCCATCTGTTATAAGCATACCTTTCAATTCCAGTCTCGTTGTGGAGGTAGAAGTTTCCTGAGCTTCTCTAATAATAATCTTTTTTTCTTTTTTTCTTGTTTCTGAACTTAACAAGCCCACTTCCTCACCAGGCTCCAGTCCTTTCTCTCCTGCAACTGTCTTCTACCAGTAATTAAGAACTTTACAAGGGTGGTGATCCTTCTGCTCTCCTTAGGCCTGACATGAGTCCAGTTCTGGGCTCTCCAGTAAACGAGAGAGGTGGAGTTATTGGAATTGAGTCCAGTGAAGGATGACAAAGAGGGTTAGTGGAAATTCCAGAAAGATAGAAGAAAAATAACAATACTTGGGATTTATCATATAATATGCTTTAGAAGTGGTTTGCAATATATGTGTTTGTGGTATCTTACTGGTTTTCAATATACTGTGTATGCAGGGATTTTATTATCTATACACTTACTTACACTTTGGGGGGGTGGGAGTAAGGTTGCCCAAGGCTAAGAGATAGAGCTGATATTAGACCTCACTGAAGTACGAGTAGTGTATCAAGCTGTTTATTTGTTTGTTTTCCAGAATAAGTTTATATTTTCTAAAAAATCAAATAATGACATAAAAAGCAGCTCTTAGATTTTTATTTTTTTATATGGATGAATGCAGAGGAATCTCAAGTGAGGACTGAACTCGTTATTTCAGCTGTTCATTGACACTCACAGTTCTCATTCAAGGAGAATCGTGCCTGTAGTAAAGAAATAGTAACCTACCTGCATTTGGAGCTTTTTTGTAGCCAAAAATCACTGCAGGCTCATTGGGTTTTACCATCTTCCTTTAACACTGCCTCCGCGAGGCTGTGATGTTGTAATCACTCACTGCCTGCAGGATAATCCCTCTCTCCTTTCATATGATACGAATATTATGGAAAATAATTACTAACCTGTCAGGGATGCAGCGTGTATAGAGATCTCTCTGTCCTTTTGTTTCATTCCTTGAGGTAAACAGATGCTGGTGGCTTCTAAAAAGCCCAAAGTGGGAGCTGACGAGGAGCTCGTATCCCACCCGTTGAAATTGGAGCACTGATTAATATTGTTGCCTGTAGCCTTGTGATATGTACAGTCGAAATTAGACCTTTGCAGTCATCGTGTTAGTTTGATGCAAGAGCTCTAATGGCATAATTTCGGGTCGCTGCATCGCTTTTCTGCAGCCTGGTCTTTGTATTCCACTCACATTAATTGAAGTAATTTTGCCACTGAAGCGTGTTTCAAACCTCTGCATTTAAATTGAAATTTTAATTCCCTTATTGTTTGGAAAAGACGGCTGAAGATGGCTTGTTACAGGTTTCATTATCACTCAAAACTCTCCAGCTGCTGGTTCTAATGTGCAATGACTGAATAATGCTGGGAAGAATTGTTAATAAAAGAATGGCAGCTTTTCCCAGTAGTGTGAACACAATGCAAAAGGTATTTTGTGACAGCTTACATTTGTATGAAGTTAAAAATTTTAAGTGGCAGCTTTTTTTGTTTCTGATTCTCTATCCATCTAGAGTAGCACAGAGGAGCTTCAAATATCATGTCTTCACCTTCTGTGTTCCTCCAGCGTTGTGATAACGCACGCTCCGGTGAGCGGAGCCGCTGGGGTGATGTTTGCTCTTCTCTAATTGCACCTTCCACAGTTTGTGTTAAAATTGCAGAATCGCAAATTCCCAGGTTGGAAGGGACCTTAAGGGTCATCTGCTCCAACCTTTCTCAAAAACATGGTCTAGACAAGCTGACCCAGCACCCCGTCCAGCTGAATCGTAAATGTGTCCGATGTTGGGGAATCCACCATTTTCCTGGGAGATCATTGCAAAGGCTGATTGTTCTCAGGGTGAAAACTTTTCCTTTTGTGTCCAATGGAAATATCATAGAATCATAGAATGGTTTGGGTTGGAAGGGACCTTTAAAGACCATCCAGTTCCAACCCCCCTGCCATGGGCAGGGACACCTCCCACCAGACCAGGTTGCTCAAGGCCCCATCCAGCCTGGCCTTGAACCCCTCCAGGGATGGGGCATCCACAGCTTCCCTGGGCAACCTGTTCCAGTGTCTCACCACCCTCAGAGTCAAAAATTTCTTCCTGAGATCTAATCTGAATCTTTTTTCTTCCAATTTAAAACTGTTTCCCCTTGTCCTATCATTACACCTCCTGGCAAAGAGTCCCTCCCCAGCTCTTCTATAGGCACCCTTCAGGTATTGAAAGGCCGCTATAAGGTCTCCCCGGAGCCTCCTCTTCTCCAGGCTGAAAATATCTCCAGGAGTAACTTGTACCCATCACAGAATCACACCATGAAGGGACCTCTGGAGATCATCTAGTCTAATTCCCTTGCCAGAGCAGGCTCAGCCAGAGCAGGTTGCACAGGAACGTGTCCAGGTGGGTTTTGAATATCTCCAGAGATGGACTCCACTACCTCTCTTTGCAGCCAGTTCCAGGGCTCTGCCACCCTCACAGGAAAGAAGTTCCTCCTCATGTTTAGATGGAACTTCCCATGTTCAAGTATATGCCTGTTACCTTTTGTCCTGATCACCCCTTGTCTTTTCTGTGTGACTCCTTGTAAAAAGGGAATCTCCATCTTTGTACCCACCCTTTAAATACTGGAACAGGAATGAATTGGAAAGCTTTGGAGAAGTCAGGAGGGTCAAGACTCCACTACCTCTCTTTGCAGCCCGTTCCAGGGCTCTGCCACCCTCACAGGAAAGAAGTTCCTCCTCATGTTTAGATGGAACTTCCCATGTTCAAGTATATTACCTCTTGTCCTGATGACCCCTCGTCTTTTCTGTGTGACTCCTTGTAAAAAGGGAATCTCCATCTTTGTACCCACCCTTTAAATACTGGAACAGGAATGAATTGGAAAGCTTTGGAGAAGTCAGGAGGGTCCAGGACAGATAGAACTCCAGTTTCAGACCGAATATGTTTCCGTTATTTTCCATTTCTGGATATACCTTTTTTTAAAGTATGAGTTAGTATGTTTTTCTGTAAAACTTTTCTATCTTGTACCCACCCTTTAAATACTGGAACTGGAATGAATTGTAAAGCTTTGGAGAAGTCAGGAGGGTCTAGAACAGATAAAACTCCAGTTTCAGACTGAATATATTTCCATTATTTTCCATTTCTAGATATACCTTTTTTAAAGTATGAGTTAGTATGTTTTTCTGTAAAACTTTTCTATTTTTTCACACATTAAGTTGCTAAAAGTAACATTCCCTTTCATGTGGCAATTGAGTGCAGGTACATACATATCTGTGTATTTTCTGTTCAACATAAAACAAAAAGGAGGAAGAGTAGGCTGAGGGGAGACCTATTTTTTCTGTTTTTTTTTACACATTAAGTTGCTAAAAGTAACATTCACTTTCATGTGGCAAATGAGTGCAGGTACATACATATCTGTGTATTTTCTGTTCAACGTAAAACAAAAAGGAGGAAGAGTAGGCTGAGGGGAGACCACCTCACTATCTACAACTCCCTGAAAGGAGGGTCGGTCTCTTCTCCCAAGGAGCAGGCGATGGGACAAGAGGAAATGGCTGCAAGTTGCACAAGGGGAGGTTTAGGATGGATATTAGGAAAAATTTCTTCACAGAAAGGTTGTTCCAGTCTTGGAAGAGGCTGCCCAGGGCAGTGGTGGAGTTACCATCCCTGGAGGTATTTAAAAGCTGGGCAGATGTGGTGCTGAGGGACGTGGTTTAGTGATGGACTTGGCAGTGTTAGCTTGATGGTTGAACTTTGATATCTTAAAGGTCCCTTCCAACCTAAATGATTCTGTGATCAGGTGCTGGGAGGGGAATTCTGACGCAGAAGGAGCTTCCTAGGAGAAGGCAGTGGACAGTCTCCAAAGGGACTAGCAGCAGAGGTGGAGGCAGAGGCAAGTTTGGTTGGGGGCACAGCTGGCACTTGACCTGGAAGCACAATTTGATTGCTGGAAGGCAGGAATCCAACTTCTTCTGGAACAGATGTCTTAGATGGGCTACAGAACACTGTAGTAGAGGACACAGCAGGATGGGCAGCAGTGGGACAGGACAAGGAGCATTGTTGCTTTGAGGAAAGAGTTCCATGTCTCATCCCCCCGGCACTGGGTTGTGTGTTGAAGGGCAGTAGGCTCTGCCCAGTGGTTACTTAATTAACTCAAGTATTGTAGAGGTCTGGGGTGTTGATCTAATTGTTCTGCCTCTGTTGTTGAACCAAGAGTTATCCATAGAGAGAAATTAATATTTTCCATTTGTTTAAATAATCTAAGAGATGAAATGCTAAAAACAGTTGAAGGAAGAAATGTTGTTGAATCAAGTAATTAAAGGTCATATCATAATACAATTAAATGAAAATTGCTTAGGCTACTTTCTTTGCATTTCCTGGCTTTTATGTGTCTGACTTTGCAATTTTAATGAACTAATACCACTTTGTCAAAGTATATAGAGTTTTTTAAAAAAATCTTTTCATTCCAGTAGACCATGAAACACTTACTCTGAAGT